GGCAGTGGCCTTCAGAAGGCCTACTGAAGACTGTATACGAGGTCATGTGCCATTTAATAGATAAGTCAAATCCAATCTAACGGGGATTGTTTTGAATAAACGGTCTCAGCTGCCAACTTTGAGATGCGCTCGACTTTAGGACTTTGTAGGATCTTCAGGCCAAAAACAGTCTCCATTGGCTCCAAAAATATTTTGTGCTCTGAATGATGAATGAGAGGTGTCTTACCTTAACGTGTGACTCAGGTAACTTGTTGAACAAAACAAAATGATAAATGCTCTTCGACATCCTTTTTGCTCACACTTTGTTTCCAAGTCGTAGACATTTCGCTGGTGTCGTGGCAAAAATAATCATATAGCCAGATTTACAGCAAAAACTGCTAACGAGAATTTAGAAGCCGCTCTGGTGTGTTTTTATGCTTAAAAAATCGGCTTCCATCCCTTTCTTATTTTTTGTTCCTCAGTAAACCCAATAAGTTGTTATTGCTAACGCGTGGGCACCGCTATCCTTAGGCGTATTTTCCTTTTTAAAAAGTCAAAATACTCACCGTGACCAAACAAAATACAACAATACCTGGTTCACCCTTCACTCCAAATATATGAATACAATGCTCATTCTTGTTTGGTAATAAGTGCGATATTAGTAGCATCGTTTAACGACCAAGCATGCCAATAAGTGGGATGAGGGAAGACATCAGTTGAAAGGCAGAAGGTCATTTCATTCGAAGCTATGCTTATGTAGAATTCCAAGACACGCGACAGTAGTTTAGTTTCTAAATGCGGATGTCCAGTTCATTTCAGTTTTATTAGGGATGCAGGGTAGGCGTAAGCCTTTGAATTCCTCGTCTGCTCAAATTACAAAGAAGACCAACAGACATGGAGAGAGGAAAGGAACGGTGACATTATGGTTTACACGAGTCTGCCAAAACAGGTGCCTTTCCATCTTAACGATAGTTGGTGCTGGCAGCTTTGTACCATCACTGCAATGTGTCGAACTGTACACCCAAAGGGTGTGAGATGGTGGGGTTTGATGTAATAACAGATGGTCAAAGTCTTCTTCAATACTTCGGCACTGGTTAACGTTACGATGTTCTCCGGCAGAGCGTTCTAGGACGGTGTGATTCTGCGCAACAAGAACTTCCGCACATTTGGCCGTGACCTCAGCATGCGCAGTCCGCATAGATTGGTAATGGCGGGCATCTCGACAATTCAACCGCCATTTTCGACGATGCCGATTGTGCGTCCCATAGCTTGGTGGGCGCAAAGACGGGGTCTTACGCATGAATTAGTAATAGTGGACTTGTGATGCATCTACCGCACTGTACCCTCCTCGCCAGCCCGGACGCGGTGTCAGGACAGAGCCGGACCGGACGCAAATGACCGGTGGGGCGTGAGCCCGCGCCTAGCCCACCCATCACACTCCCAATGAGTGACATCTAGTACGATGCGCAGCCGCAATGACGCCGTTCTTTCTCTCACCCGATGTCAGTGTTGGTCAAGTGTAACTCCCACTTAGCTTTTTGTAAGTAATGAGTGTGAAAGAAGTGCTTAGAATTGTGGCGGCATTTGGAGCCCTTATTTCGCTTAATCAGCCATATAGAAGGAAAGTACTGTTCGGCCCTATCACATTCACATAAATATGGTCAGTGATAAATCACAAAAATATTAAGCGAAATTATGAAATGTGTTTCCGATCCGGTAGGATTAGTTAAGAGGGATTATAAGTCTAATTTCCCTGCCATATGATACTGCAGACACTAGGATGCTGGAGTATGACTGCATTTCTTTTCGGCTGTCTGAAAAAACCGTTTTCCGACAAAGATGACTACTTAAGTTGTGTCCACTTTTTGTTGGCATTCGATGACTTAATAAAATATGATATATTATATAGTAGCATGCATAAAATTATTCTTTTTAAAATTCCTTTAGTAAAATGTAACATCTTCCATAAATTGTATGCTCTAAAGAAGTGTTTATTTAGGTTTTAAGAAAATTCTTCAATTCCCGACTAATTCTGAGTCTGATCCGCCGCTGCACGTTCGTTTATACACTGCCTTATATCAATGGAAGGACACTATCTACGGGGCATTAAAATTACTATTGGGTTTGAATAACGTTTTCTATTTCTTAAGGAGCATAAGTAAACGTACAAATGCAATAATGTGTGAGTGGGCATGGTGGGGTCATAGAAAATCAAGTAGAAACTTTTAATATACAAGTATAATCCTCCTCCTGTCCCATCAAGGACACAATTAGAAAACCAGATTTTCTACTAAATGAGTGCAACTAATTACATATTTATACATGCATATTATAGGCTATATTGAAATTTAAAAAGGAATTTTGTCATGCTACTGGCGAACTATTGTAGAATGTCGACCTCACTAAATCAGGCACCGACATGTATGAACACAGTAAGGCCGTAGATTACTTGCTATTGGATACTGGAATATGTGTGGTTAAATAGCTTCCGGCTCATATCCACAATTTCATATATTACGCCACCTTCCATACTCCACAGTAGACAGTGTGGGAAAAACGTTTACCATAACCTTGCATTTTAATAATTTTCAGGTGATTCTGACGACGCGAGATCCCGACGCCTGGGTAGAGAGCGTGAGAGCAACAGTATTTCCATTGAACTTCTACACAAGTCAAGGAGGTTGCCTGGATTTCGTCATCTGGCTCAAGGGCATCACTGGAATCTTGCAGATTGTCGACAAGGGCATGCGCCTCTCCCTGAGACGCAACAGAGACGACCTAATGAATGACACGCTGCTACGACAGGCCTTCGTTGAGTGGACCGATTACGTGAAGAAAACTGTGCCACCCGAACGTCTGCTTATATTTAATGCTAATGAGGGCTGGACGCCACTCTGCCGTTTTCTTAACCGGCCTGTTCCAGACTGCCCGTTTCCAAGCGTAAATTCTCGTAAGGAGATGAAAAGATACATGCTGTTTGATAAACCCCTGATCTTAACTCTGAAGTATATTGTCCCTGTTGCCCTGTGCGCCTGGTTATGTTATGTGGCAGTACGAAGGATCACTGGAAAGGGTTTCTAGGACTAAATAGTGTAGTTTTAAAGACGTACATGTCGGAGACTTTTAGCACATGTTCCTTAACTGCACAGACATCGTTCAATCTGCCCGTTTCTAACAATGACAAGCACTTCTGGAAGACACGACTTTTAAAAACCTTTCTTCCCTACTACATACTACATGTGCTCATTAAGCCTGTTCTTTATAGTTATGAGGAATTTCAATAAAAGATCATATTTCCGTATTCATTCTTTACCTAGGGATCTTCAGGGGCTTCTTTTACGGTCACCGAAAATGGGTTCCGTGGTGATCTGTTCTCGTTTTTAAACTAGTCTATGGCATGCCTAACTTGGACACAAATGCAGGTATCCCTTAACGATAAACACGGCTATGTAAAATAAGGTACGCCCGTCATAAAAAACTGCTACATCCCATTTATGGTCTCATGTGATCATACCCCTCGATACGGCCTTTCCCTCTACAGTTGAAAACATATATATGGATATAGGCGAAAATGCCGACCCCAGGTATTGAGATGGAAGAAGGTAAAGAGATCTCTGGGGAGGATGATTTATTCATCTGACGTTTCACATTCATACTTGAGCGCATCATCGGAGATAGATTAAAAGTGGGAATAGAAGGTTTAAATAGGTCTTTCTTACTCACTACTGATAGGTCCATTGTTCTCTCTTCCTATTGGCCCTCCTGGTGTCTTTCGAAAGGCAACTGATACGGCGAAAATCCTCCATTACAGCAGTAACCACCCCTTGTCACATAAACGCAGCTGCGTGCGGACGCTCTTTCTACGCATCAACACACACTGCAGCACAGAGGATGAAAATCTGCGAGAGCATAAATCCCTATGGCGTCTCTTTCTCTCCAATGGGTACCCACGTAGCTTCATAAACAAATGCCTGTATCAAAGGCACACGAAGACCGCCGGCGAACAAAAACAAAAACCTGAAATCTTCCGTGCTTTGCCCTACGTGAGTGACGTTTCCGAAGCCACTGAACGCATGCTCAGACCACTCAACGTGGGCGTTGGACACCGGCCGGAGGTCACTATCCGCCACTTGCTCATGCAGCCTAAGGGGCGGCTACCACCTGAGGACACGTCAGGAATTGTCTACCGCGTCAACTGTCTAGACTGTCCGGCCAACTATTGTGGCATGACCGACAAACGATTAAGGTCGCGCATGCATGAGCATTCTCTAGCTGTAAAGCGAAAAGATGTGCGATCACATGTTGCTATGCATAGCCTGGAAAATAACCATCAATTCGGCTTCCACATGGCAGAAGTAATCGGCCGAGCTGAAACCAAAATGGCGAGAGAGATAATCGAAGCCTGGCAACCCAACGCCAACTCGATCAACCGTAGGATCGATCTACCGGCGCCATACGAGGCCGTCAGACACCACTTGGGCAGGAAAGGAAGGCCAATAGGAAGAGAGAACAATGGATCTATCAGTAGTGAGTAAGAAAGACCTATTTAAACCTTCTATTCCCACTTCTAATCTATCTCCGATGATGCGCTCAAGTATGAGTGTGAAACGTCAGATGAATAAATCATCCTCCACAGAGATCTCTTTACCTTCTTCCAAACATATATATATGAAAAAATAGAAGAGGTTCTTCGGAACAGTCGAGTTTTACTCGTGAATTTTCGAGCTGGTGACACCAACCCGTCGTCAGACGTAATGAAAACGAGGGAGAAAGTTATGTTGTCACAGTAGACCAGTTAGTGTGATAGGACAGAACAGACTACTGACGTGTGAGGCGTGGGGGGGTGGGTTGGGCTCCCGAGGTCATGGTAGGTCACTGAGTGAGGGGCGGGGAAGGGAGAGGAGGCGGAACAATTACGGCGCACCGTGCTGGAGGGGGAGAGTGGATGGTGAATCGGTTGGAATGCGGGCGGCTGCATTCGCGGTCGTTGATGCGTGATTAGGGCAGGGGGCAGTCATCCGTTAACGTAGACCCTCGTAATGGGCGTCTAAATCAATGTGACGATTGATACTACCCGCATTGGAGTACCAAGCCTCGAGAAATTCCCTCGCTCGCTTTGTGTTAGCCATGGCGACGGCCTCAGTGCCATCCCAATTGAATCGGTGGTCGTACTCGAGTGCATGGGCAAAGACGAGGGACAGGGGTTCTCGCCGACGGATAGCTAGTTTGTGTTCGCTGATACGGGTGCCCAGGCATCGACCTGTATGGCCAACATACGCGCAAGAGCAATTAGCACACGGGATGCGATAAATTACATTCGTTTGTTGCTCTTTCGGGATGGGATCCTTCACTCGAGATAGTGCTGCGCGTAGTGAAGATGACGGTTTGTGGGCAACGTGAATACCCAAGCGGCTGAACAGCCGGGCGATTATTTCAGAAGTTCCACGCATATATGGCAAGGAGAAGAATTTTCGCGTCACAATCTCTCCGTTGGGGGTGGCGTCTTGCGACTCTGTCTGCTGTCTGAGACAGTTCTTGACAAAACTGATCGGATATCCGTTAGAGCGGAATAACCGATACAGGTGAGCAAGCTCTTTGTTCAGGAGATCGTTGCTGTTACAATAACGGTAGGCCAGGTGGAACAGAGTTCGGACGCAGCTTCTTTTGTGAGCTGCAGGGTGGTTGCTTCCATAGTTGAGGATAATCTCAGAGTTAGAGTCTTTCCTATTGACGCTTGTTGCCAGGCTACCATCGCTCAACTTCTGTATCCTCACGTCCAGAAACGGCAAGCTGTCTCCAATTGCCCCTTCGCGGGTAAACTCTATGGCTGGGAAAACGTCATTCAGGCTCTGGTGAAGCCGTTCGACTTCGCACTTCTTTTTTATGATGGTGTCATCAACATAACGAAGCCATTGTTTAGGCTTGATAGTTTGGAAAACTATCTCTTCTAGTCGCTGCAAAAATAGTTCGGCTAGCAGTCCTGATATTGGTGAGCCCATCGGCAATTGGAGACAGCTTGCCGTTTCTGGACGTGAGGATACAGAAGTTGAGCGATGGTAGCCTGGCAACAAGCGTCAATAGGAAAGACTCTAACTCTGAGATTATCCTCAACTATGGAAGCAACCACCCTGCAGCTCACAAAAGAATCTGCGTCCGAACTCTGTTCCACCTGGCCTACCGTTATTGTAACAGCAACGATCTCCTGAACAAAGAGCTTGCTCACCTGTATCGGTTATTCCGCTCTAACGGATATCCGATCAGTTTTGTCAAGAACTGTCTCAGACAGCAG